CTCAAGCGATCCTCCTGCCTCAGCCTCCCGAGTAGCTGGGACTACAGGCATGCGCCACCACGCCCGGCTAATTTTTTCTACATATTTTTAGTTGGCCGATTAATTTCTTTCTATTTTTAGTAGAGACAGGGGGTCTCGCTCTTGCTCTGGCTGGTCTCGAACTCCTGACCTCGAGCAATCCTCCCGCCTCGGCCTCCCAGAGTGCTAGGATGACAGGCGTGAGCCTCCACGCCCGGCCTCCTTCATGATTTTAGCTCCCAAACACGTGCATTAGTCTGAAAAGTAACGCTAAGTGGGTTGAGGCCGACCGCCCCAGCTCGGGAGAGTCGCGATCAAGTGTCTTTGCAGCTAGTTCAGTCGCAACCCGTGTAATCCTGTTCCGCTTCTGTCTTTCACAGGCGTCGTCCTTCTGAACTCGGCCTGAGAAATGAGCGCGGTTTACTGCCAGCCGGGCTACGTGTCCCGGAGCGTGGCCCTGAGCGACTGGCAGTCCGCCCCTTGGGACTGCTGCGATGACATGAAGACTTGTAAGTCCGTGGCTTCATGCTTCGTTATCTCCTTGCCTGCAATAAAAAGCAGGCTATTGTCACAAAGAGAATCGTTATTTCTGGGCCGGGCGCGGTGGCTCTCGCCTGTCATCCCAGCACGCTGGGAGGCCGAGGCGGGAGGATCGCTCGAGGTCAGGAGTTCGAGACCAGCCTGAGCAAGAGCGAGACCCCGTCTCTACTAAAAAAAATAGAAAAGAAATGAATTGGCCAACTAATACATATATATTAGAAAAAATTAGCCGGGCGTGGTGGCACACGCCTGTAGTCCCAGCTACTCGGGAGGAGGCTGAGGCAGGAGGATCGCTTGAGGCCTGGAGTTGGAGGTTGCTGTGAGCGAGGCTGACGCCACGGCACTCACTCTAGCCCGGGCAACAGAGTGAGACTCTGTCTCAAAATAATAATAATAATAATAAAAATTAAAAAGAAAATAAAATGGTTATTTCTGCTCTCGCTGAGTTCTGGGCTATTATCGATAACCTGGAAGTCAAAAGCTGGAAACCCGCGCGTGGATTTAGCCCTCAGATTTGTTTTGTTTGTCGTGAACGATAATGGAATCTCTGGATGCATTGCTTGCTTTCCATTTTATAGTGATAGGATACGTGCAAAAAATCAGATTTCACGCCAAAAAAATCTCGTTTTCCCATCTAGATTTAAAGCTTCTCTTGGAAACTTTTGGAAGATCTGCAAAGATGGGTCCCTCCTTCTCATGTGGCAGCAGTCAGCTGGCGTTGGATATATATATTTTTTCTTTGAGACAGAGTCTCCTTTTGTTGCCCGGGCTAGAGTGAGTGCCGTGGCGTCAGCCTCGCTCACAGCAACCTCCAACTCCAGGCCTCAAGCGATCCTCCTGCCTCAGCCTCCTCCCGAGTAGCTGGGACTACAGGCGTGTGCCACCACGCCCGGCTAATTTTTTCTAATATATATGTATTAGTTGGCCAATTCATTTCTTTTCTATTTTTTTTAGTAGAGACGGGGTCTCGCTCTTGCTCAGGCTGGTCTCGAACTCCTGACCTTGAGCGATCCTCCCGCCTCGGCCTCCCAGAGTAGCGTTGGATATTATTAGCTAGATCCCACCGAAAGGCTCTGCAGTTTGACATACTGATACCTACCACTCACGGCTGTCTATTTCGGGTTGATTTCCAGTCTATTTCGGGTTGATTTCCAGTCTGTTTCACTCGCTTATTTTCCCTGCCTAGGTTGAGTTCCTGGTTCTTGTCTGGCTCATCGCCTCCTTTGCCTCCTTTTAGAACTTTCCCCTCTTCACTCACCCCATGCTCTTGGCGTGTTTTTCCGGTTTCTTTCCTATTCACCCCCTTCCCAGCGCTGACTCTACCGCCTTCCTGTTTTCGATGAGATTCTTGTGACTCTCCTGTGATTGCTCTATTTCAAGAAGCCCTGCATTTTTTTTTTCTTTTTTTCTTTTTGTTTTTTTGCGACAGAGTCTCACTCTGTCCCCCGGGCTAGAGTGAGTGCCGTGGCATCAGCCTCGCTCACAGCAACCTCAGACTCCTGGCCTCAAGCGATCCTCCTGCCTCAGCCTCCTCCTGAGTAGCTGGGACTACAGGCGTGTCCCACCATGCCCGGCTCATTTTTTCTATATTTATATTAATCGGCCAATTAATTTCTTTCTAT